ATGGGTGGAGGAGAGATGCCCCCCAACCCCCTTCCCATTGATGCCTGGGACAGGTGGAAGAGCTGGCCCTGGGTCATGGGAGCAGGAGGGCTGTCCCTGCCCCTCACCAGCTGCAGCACTCCAGATTAGCCTGGAGTTTAAGGAAACCAACACAAGCCACCAAGATTTCTTAAACTGTTCCGCTCTCTCCTTCACATTAGTTAAATGACTTCAGAAGTGATCTCACCATTCAACTTGCAAGATGAATACCAAATGCTCTTCTTCTTCAGGGTAGTCTTATTACCCTGTCCCCTTCCAAGGGCATACAATGGCTCTGTCCCTTCAACTCCACAGCAGTTTATTTACACACAATAACTTTCATGTCCTTAACATACTCAGGAGCCATTGACAGGAAATTTAAATAGGGTTTGTTTTTGTACCCATTGTTTAAGAATGCCTTCTATCTTTCAAGGAAGCTGAGGAATGATAAAACTGTGGTAATATTCAAGTATAAGCATATCTTCCACCCTTTCTACTTTGTAAACAGTAAAATGTCTTTTTGAACTTTCATCTATTTTTAATGACTAGAGACCTCTTGAAAGGAAATTATGCTCTTTGTAGCAGGAAGTTGCTGATACTTTGTGTCTTTCGGATTGATAAATCAAATCCCTAGGTGGCTGCATGGTATTAGCAAGAGGGTTAGTACTTGCTTGTTCCTCAAAAGACAAGTGCCTCGATTCACACAGGCCAAGCATGCTTTAACGGGCAAGATTTTGGAGAACACAATGAGCACAAGTGTCTGAAAGTTCCTGGCACTGGGTGTGAAAAGGGCTGAGGGACCAGGCTTAGTTCTGAGGGTGACCTCCTAAACAGGGGTGCCTGGAGCAAGGCCCACAACACTGGATTTTTCAAAGAACCCCAGATGGTGCAATGAAGGTAGGTAGCTACGACAACATCAGACCTTTCTCATGAAATGTAGTTAGCTAGTACTCATGATTTTGGCAGGTGGTATCATAGGGCTTGGTAGACCTAAGATAATGATAATAAACTTCTTACTAATATCACATTTTACTTTATATTTAATTTGAAAAAAAATTGAATGTGACATGGTTTATATTGTATAGCATGAACTCATTCAAGCCCTGCTTTTGCATGTGCATGTATGTGTGGTGTGCATGTATGCATATTTATATGTTTGCATCATGTGTATACATTTTGTAATGTGTACAAGAATGTGTGTAAATCCCTGTAAAGGCCAGAGGTTGACATAGGGATCTTTCCTAGTCACTTCTATCTGTATCTGTTGAATCTGAGTCTTTCACTTGAATTCATAGCTTGCCATCCTGGTGAGTCTAGCCAGTCAATTTTCTCCAGACATCCTCTGTATCTACCTCCGAAGCCCTGGAATTACGGGCAAACTGCAATACCCACCTGGCATTACAGGGTCATCCAAACCCCTGTGCCCTCGCTTACACAGCAAACCCTTTACCAACTCTCTTCATTAAAGTTTCTATTGCTGTGATAAAACACCCATGACCAAAAGCAGTTTGAGGAGTAATGGGTATATTTCAGTTCATAATTGTAGTCCATCATGAAAGGAATTCAGGGTAGGAACTCAGCACTTAGCACAAGAACCTGGAGGCAGGAATTGATGCAGAGAACAAGAAGAAATGCTTACTGGATTGTTCAGCCTATTATCTTATACCACTCAGAACATCCTGCCCAGGAGTGGTACCACCTATGGTGCCCTAGGCCCTCCCACATCAATCAATAGTCAAGAAAATGCCCCACAGGCTTGCCTACAGGTTGATGGAGATATATGATTTCAATTGAGGTTCCTCTTTCCATTTAACTCTGGCCTGTGTCAAGCTGACAAAACAAAACAAAACACAATAACAACAACAAAAAACAAAACAAAAAAAGCCAAAAAACATGATACCAATTGAGCCTTTTCCCAAGGCCCCTCAGTAAAGCCCTTTGATGAATACATTATGGAATTTACAATTTACAACAGTGCCTTCATATCAATGAGATTAATATCTATCCTGAAGATGCCCACATCACTCCATTTTCATTTACCAGGCTTGTAAAACATCACTTCTCAGGTTATCCAATAACTTTCCCCAAGTTTTCCCCTACTTCCATCATCTTCCAATAAAGTTCCCTTTGTTTCACCCCTTTATTTTAAAAAGTAATAATAATGCTTCTTAAAAGCTAATTAGATTAAGACAGAAGTCCATACTTTGTAGCTGGAGTTTTCTCCAGCTCCCGCCAAGCCCCAGCAGTCCCGCAGCCCACTTATAAAATAAACACACAGACTCTTATATTATTTAAACCGTTTGGCCTAATGGCTCAGGCTTCTAGTTATCTAGTTCTTACATCCTAAATTAACCCATTTCTGTAAATCTATACCTTGTCACATGGCTCATGGCTTACCAGTATCTTACATGTTAGTATTCATGGCAGCGGCTGGCAGCGTCTCCTGACTCAGCCTTCCACTTCCCAGAATTCTCCTCTCTCCTTGTCCTGCCTATACTTCCTGCCTGGCTACTGGTTATTTATTAACCAATCAGAGCAACACATTTAACATACAGAACATCCCACAGCAATACTTCTCACCCTGATCTAGCTCTTGCTGACTCCTTCCTCATATCTTATGCTCACACTATACCTAATGGTGCTATTCCTTCTAGTTGCTCCCAGGTACTTGCTAGGTTCATCATGCCTTCAGAAGCAACACAAGCATGTTTTCTTGAATGAAGCCATCCTTCCTGAGAGAAAATTCATTTCTATTCAATCATAAGATCTCAGCTCCAACACCAGAGATATTTTCCAAAAATCTTCCCTATCACCTCAGTATACTCATTCACATACTGGAGCAAAGATAGATTGCTGCTCTCACAGTCTTTTATACCATAGGACTTATTACAATCTTCAAATTAGACTGATTTTGAGATTTTCTTTTTCAAATAGACATCCTGCCAACAAATGTTATACTATATGAAAAAGAGGCCTTATCTACTTTAATCAGCAATTTGTACTTCAAAAGACTCAGCAACTTGATGGTAAGCATTTAAGAAATCAAGCCAAATCTGCATAATCATAAACACTGCAGACTGATACTTGAGATCAGCACGGGATATAAAACAGGAATAAAGAACAGACGATCTTTGGGCAGGTGAGATGGCTCCTTGTGTAGAGGCTCCTGCCAGAAGATCCAAGGACCTGAATACAACCTCTAGGACACACATGGTAGAAGGAGAGGACTGGCACCTGCTAGTGTTCTTCTGACCTCTACATGATTGTCATGGTGTGAGTGCATGCACATACACACACACACACACACACACACACACACAAATAAATAAAAATATATAATTTAAACATTTCAACATTGTATAGTGATACATTGAGAAAGATAGAACTAAATGAGAGAAAAGAAAGCTCAAGGTATAATAATGAAGTTCAAAGACATGAATACATGTAGCAAAGACATGGATGATGGTGTGTGGTGAGACAGGATCAAAGAAGTGGAAGATAAGGATGGACAGTCTTGGTTTTAAGAAGTTAAATCCCAGAAGTTTGTTCCTGAAGCAACAGATAAATCTCAGGTCATAAATCAGAAATGTTTTTTTACTTTTGGATGGGTGGCCAGTGTAAGAGTAACTACACATATGATTTGTAATATTAATGTCCATCATGCCATTGTATGATAAAGTATTTATATTATATTAGTATAACACTTTCAGTCTAAAGATCATTATATATGAGACCCTTCTTATGTTCTGTCCAGATTTCACTCTACTTTTTAATTAAGTCTTATACTTTTCAGCGAAGGATTTCTCTCCTTCCACTTTCGGTAATATAATGCTGACCATGGAACACAGCAGCGGCATTCCATATCCCTTCCTGCCTTTCCAGCCAAGGTATATTGGCCAAAGCCAACTGGCAGCATCTGAGCCTCTCTACCTGAGGGTGTTCTCTGAGCTCCAGCCTTGCCACAGAAAGCTGAAGGGACCAGAAATAGCTCCTCCTTCTCAACTCTCAGCTACTCCTCTCAACCAATGACTGATAGGATGCATAGGTACAACAATTTCCTTTACTGAGGCTGGACTATGTCAGAGTCACACAGTTACACATTGGGAAAAAATTTCGAATTATCTGCAGTAGAAATTTATGTGGAAACTCACCCAGTTGGAATGGTTTCGTCTTTCCCATCTTATGTTCCCCAACCCCTTCAAAACAAGCAACTTGATATTTGTTTCTTTGGCTTAGGGTCTGCTCTGAGGGAAATGCAAACCTAAACTTCAAGTAAATAGCATGGAAATTCATACAGTATTCATGGCATTGTTGTTCTGTATGCCTTTCTCCTTAGTTGAAATTACTGGGAGGAAGAGATTCATTTACATCCTTAACATTCAGTATTTAAAATAACATACTGTACAGTTTCATGTAATTGTGAATAGATGTAATATACTACTCACATAGTACATTTATGCTGGAAACCATTCTAAGAATTTGTCAGCTTTAAGGAGACAGAAACATAGTCACAAACTGTCAGCATCCTAAGAAGTTTCCTAATCTTTTAGGGGTTGTGATTCAGGCCAAACCAGGATTCGTGGCTTCAATCCTGAGAAGAATTCTAGAACTAATTAGTATGATGAACCAGAGTTATACTGATATTAAGAAAGAAAGGCTCTCAAGGGAGTAAGAGTATGCCTGTGAGTATGAATATGTGCCTATCTGAGAAGGTCATGAAATGTAAGCCATACCAAAGTGTAGGCACAGATTCCTCAATGGAGAGTCACAATTAATTTTCTCAACATTGGCCACTGTGGTGGTTTGAATGCGAATGACCCAGAGGCTCATATATTTGTTTTTTATTAATTAATTAATTAATTAATTTTCCCCAGCAGGATCAGAGTTTCCCCTCCCTCTCTCCTCTCTTCCCAGTACCTCAGTGCAATCTCCCCCTGATCCACTCTCTTTACTTTCTTTTCAGGAAACTACAGGCCTTCCATGAATATCAGACAGCCATGGGATATCAAAATTAGGGCACCTCCTCTTCTATTAAGGTTGGATGAGGCAACCCAGCAGGAGAAAGGGTCCCAAGAACAGGCAACAGAGTCAAAGGATCATATATTTCAAGGTTTGGTCCTCCCTTGGAGAAATTGTTTGGGAAGGATTAGGAGGTATGGCCTTGTTGAAGAAGATATGTCCTTCTTTGAAGTTTTGACGATTCAAAAGCATACAGGACCTTGATGTAGTAGGCCCAGGACCTCTCTAGCCACTTAATTCTGGATCTCAAGACTTATTCTGTCCTTCTGCAACCTGCCTGTAAGAGCCCCTTTTCCCTAGTTGGAGACAATGTACCAACTAGACACTTTATATCACCAAGTAAAACCTCTAGTGCCAGGAACAGATTACATCTTATTGAGTCATTGGCCAAAGAGGCACTGTGGAAAGCTCCAAACATCACATAGGATTGCCATCTATTGATTGCTCTCCACAAACTTATGGTAAGGCCCCATGGCTGAAGACAGCACTAATATATGCCATCTAATGTGGAGGAATTGAGCTTGGAACTAACTAGAAGCTTCCTCCCTACTGACTAGCATTCATGGTAATGGAAGGTACTCTGCACGCTTCTATAGGAGAATGCTAATCATCAGTATCTCCTAGCTGTAAGTCCTGTGGTCTATAACAATGACCCGCCACTAAGATACAATTTTGCAATAGTGGCACAACCGTTACAGGAGTAACCAACCACTTTCTTACTAGATTTAAGACACACTCAATGAGATATAACATATCTGACACCACTAACGTGGCCGCCTAGAACCTGAGACTAGAAAGATCATAGGCCAATGGAAAGCAACTAGCACAATTATTCTGCTAAAGAAACATATCAATAAAATTACCCCTCGTGACATCTATAACCACAGACCAGTTTCTTGCTCAGCCCTCAACAGAGAAGCTTCTTCTTCTAGTAAATTGTAACTAACACAGAAATCCACAACTGGACAAGGTGCAGAGAGTGGGAAATTTTGCAGCATTCAATTCTAAATGAAATGTTTCTGTCAAACCCCTCCCCTCCAGGCTCAGGGAATCCATGCAGAAGAAGAAGCAGAAAGAGTGTAAGACCCAGAGGTGGTTTCACACCAAGGAAAGAGCATGTTCCAAACATAGTGGGACCGATGAACGTATGAAATCACAGTCAGTGGAGGAATACACAGGGCCTGCATAGGTTCAAGCCAGATGGGGTCCCAGGGCTGAGAGAGGGACATGACCAGGGTTCCCACCCCTAAACAAGAAGTTATCTGTAACTGGTACCCACTGACAAAGGAAAAAATCAGTTTTCCCTAATGGAGTCTCACTAGGTATATTAGCCATATTTCAGGGCAGGCCCCAGGCCCAGGAGTAGCTGGACAATGTGAAAATGGACTCAATGGTATTTTTATAAACCTTTTGTCTCATATTGCTTTGTTTGGGCATTTGTGTATGTGTGTCTTATTAATCTTTTTCTTGTTTATTTTGATGCCTGTTTTGTGGGGATTTGGTGAGGTGGGAGGGATGTATATCTTGTATTGCTTTGTTTGTTTGTTTTTAAAGAGAGAAAACCTAAAGTTGTGTGGGTAGGGAGGATCTGAGAAGAGAATAGGATCAAAATACATTGCATTAAAAAGTTTTTTCAGCCGGGCGGTGGTGGCGCACGCCTTTAATCCCAGCACTTGGGAGGCAGAGGCAGGCGGATCTTTGTGAGTTCGAGGCCAGCCTGGGCTACCAAGTGAGTTCCAGGAAAGGCGCAAAGCTACACAGAGAAACCCTGTCTCGAAAAAAAAAAAAAGTTTTTTCAATAAAAAAGTTTAAACAGAAAAGTCCTGTGCCATTCCCAGTCAGATCTCTTTGCCCTCTGCCTTGTTCTGTCTCCAGATGTGAGCACGCAGCTACTGCCTCAGCACCATGCCTGCTTGCCTGTTGCCATGTTCCTTATCATGAGGATCATGACCTCAACCTCTGCAACTGTAAGCCATCGATAAACATTTTCTTCTATATATTGTCTTAATTATGGCATCATATCATAGCAACAAAAAAGTAAAGATAGCCATCAATACCATTTTGGTGGCTCTCAAGTTACATTTCCAAAGTTGCTAAGAATCCTTTTTTTTTCCTTTTCTTATTTTTTTTTTTTTTATTAATGGGCCAGCTCTGAAGATGTTTCAGATGGAATTAATGAAGGGCTCTAGTAGGCCTCCTATTCTCCCCAACCCCCAAAGACTATTACACTCAAAGACTCTTCTGCCTACATTTATAAGTCCCTTCAGGCAGCTCAAGAGGCTGAGGAGTGTCCTTTCCAAGCGACTCAGTTGGTCTAAACCCCTTGCAGGCAGCACTGGTGGCTTCTGCTTCTTCATGCAGCTGGCCTGGTCCCAGTCTTCTTTGAAGCTCATCTCTGCTCCTCTGAGATGTGTGGTGGTATTGTGTTCCCCAAAATATTGTGTACTCTAATAAATTTATCTGGGGTCAGAGAACAGACAGCCACTAGATACAAAGGCTAGAAAATGGTGGCACTCACACCTTTAATCCTAGCATTCCAGAGATAGAAATCCCTCTGGATCTCTGTGAGTTCAAGGCCACATTGGAAATAGCCAAGCATGGTGACACATGCCTTTAATCCCAGAAAGCCAGCCTTTAATCCCAGGGAGTGGTGGTAGAAAGCAGAAAGATATATAAGGCGTGAGGACCAGAAACTAGAAGCTTTTGGCTGGTTAAGCATTTGGCCTGGTTAAGCTTCAGGCTTTTGAGCAGTAATTCAGCTGAGACCCATTCTGGATGAGGACTCAGAGGCCTCCAGTCTGAGGAGACATGACCAGCTGAGGAACTGGTGAGGTGAGATAGCTGTGGCTTGTTCTGTCTCTCTGATCTACCAGCATGGACCCCAATAACTCGCCTAAGGTTTGATTTTATTAATAAGAACTTTTAAGATTCATGCTACAGAGATGTACTATCAACTTTTATTGCTTACTCTGGCAGGAAGGGGCCTGGTAAACGTGGTTTCAGAGACTTCCTGATGCTATTTGATCTGTTTACCTTCCCGCATAAGGAGTTGTCCTGATGGACAGAATGTTTTAATCTTGGGGGGAACTGTTATATAACACGCCACCCCTTTCCTCAGCTCTTATATTCTTTACAACCTTTCTTCTGCCGTGATACCTGAGCCTCGTGTGTGTGTATGTGGGGTGACTATATTTGTCTATATATATCTAAGAATTAGGTCACTGTGTCACAGTCACAGTCATTTGTTCTCAAGAGCATCACCAATCATTATGAGTTGAGGTTGACAATAACAGTGATCTATGGATGTAAACCCATTTGTTTATAGGACAGTTTGACCAGTACACCACATTCATCTAGTAAAACCATAGGAAATTACTTGCCACTGATACTAAGACCTCCCCAGCCACAAGTTTTTGTCCTGACTTACAGTACCAGATGTGTACTCCTTCTTGTGGAGCAGGCCTTGAATCCAATCTGAAAGCTGTTGTTCTTACTTAGGACAGTCTAACCACTATTGCACAAGCAGGCATTGTTCTGCCTAGCACGTCAGTATTTTAGCATGCGCAGTCCATAGCCAAGCAGGAATGTTGGTGATCAGTGTTCACCAGCAGCCTATATGGCCACCTCTGGCATTATGTAAGCCAGCTAGAAGGCTGCAAGTTTCCTACTCAGTCTCAGCTTAATTTCTCCATAGCCTGCAAGCCAAGCACTCACGCATGCATGGAGTCTTCAGCAATAAGGTCTTACTGTATAGTCCTGACATACAAGCAACAGCTGTAGCAATAGCCTTCTTGGTTTGCAGGGCCCCAGGGGCTTCCCTGGCTAACAACTCACAGGAGGTGGTTCATGGTACTTGAATTTTTATTCCATAACCTATCATCTTTGTGAATGTTCTTTTCCACCTATGCAGGGTGCCTTTTGGATTTAAACTCTGTAGCTATTGCTTTAACAACCCATTTTGCCTTTCAATTAGCCCAGCCTCAGCAGGGTTATAAGGTAGGTAGAAGTACCATTGCACCAAGCTGTCTCTCCAGTGGCTTTCCAAAACTACGAAAGACTCAGGTTAGCATTTTGTCACTTATATGAAAAAAAAAAAGAAAAGGGAAATCTTTTCAAGATAGGCAAAACAAGTCAACATCCTGAACCACTACCCTATAACAAACAGTGGGGTTACAAAGATAACCTTGGTGAAGCACTCTGAACGTCTGAACAAGAATCAGGTGACCCCCCAGAGCTTCACAACTAAACCGGTACGAAAGTAGACGCTAAGCAAGGTCTAGTACAGCATGGAAAGATTCCACGAGTTTGTGTCAGTCACTTCCTCCACAGATCAAAGTTGGGTATAAAGCATTCATATGAGGTGCAAACTTAAGTAACCCCCTGTAATCCTCAGTCATTCCCTCTGAGCATTTGTTTCCATTTCCTGGAGCTCGGCCATAGAGCCTCCCACACTTCTCCACACCTGATAAACTCAGTGCGGCCTGACTTAATCTGCTCAGACCTACCACCCAGAGCCAAAGAGAAATGTGGTCTTGCTCTCCCCTGCTGTACCTGCTGGCTCCATAGGTCACACAGGCCCTGGGTTGGCACTGAGGGTGTAGCTGTAGCTGTTGCCCACCCCTGATTCTCCATATCTGGAGGTTGGATGTTGGGGGTGTCTCTGAGTAGGCAAACCACCTCCACCCCTAGTACAACCTTTTGCTGGAGGGAAACATACCCTCCTCAATGTCGCGGGGGGGGGGGGGGGGGGGTGGGGGTGGGGGGTATGAACCACCCTTGAGTCAGACCTGGCCATCTTCACGTGGGTAGCACTATCATGGATGTCTTCTGTGAGCTGCCTCTCAGCCTCTGAAGACCCCCAGAAACTCCTTCACACTTGGTCAGGCTTTCTATCAATTCTTTCCTTTGGAACCCCAGACTGCCACAAATCTTGCCGCATTGTCTTCGAGTAACCCAGACAGACCGCATCCTCTGCGTTGCCTTTATCTCTTCTACCAGCCTCAGCGTCTCTGCTGGATCAACTTTTCCTGAACTCCTCTGTGAGTTCTATCTGCTCCAGTGAACTGGGGTTCAAACACGGCTCCTTTTATTCCTGGTTCCCTTAATGTTATTACTGCAAGAGGCTTATTGGGGGAGCAGGGAGGGGGAAAGCGAAAGAACAAAAGGCTGCCAGAGTGGGGACGAAAGAGAGAGAGAGAGAGAGAGAGAGAGAGAGAGAGAGAGAGAGAGAGAGAGAGAGAACACGGAAGAGATAAGAGGAAGGAGCGAGGCAAGAGAGCG